GTGTGGCAGTTAGCTGTTCTGGGGCAGTGATTTTAGCATGCTGAGGTCTCCTTGGAGCCTTTGCGAGCCTAGGGTGCGTGCTGGATCTCCAAGCCCAGAGAGTGTATTTTCCAAAATTTCCTGGGACGAGGAAACTTTTGTATTCCCCATAGCATCTCAAAGGACTTTTGTTCTGTGGAGCACACTTTGGTAAACACAGTTTTGAAGAAAGAGAAATGATATGGTGGGTGCGTTACTGGGTTCCTGAGCACGTCTCCTGTTTGGGCCTGAGGCCAGTGCTGCCTGCTTGTGGTCCAGCCCGCCCACCGTTCACTCTGGAACTGGGCATCTGAGCTTTGGGTAACCCAGGTAGACGCCTTGAATTTGGGAAGGCACAAGCTCTACTCCCTCCTGCAGCCCTGCAGGGGCAGTCTGTGCCCAGAGTAAGCAGCCCTGACCTCTGAGGCCCTTACATACGGGAAATGGAGTCTGACAGGCCTGGAGAGAGAGCTCCGTCTTCAGAATGGCTCATCTGCCTGAGTCTGCGGCAGGTCTCTCTGCAAGATATAGCGGCCTGTCCAGGGGCTTACATTTCCTTAGGGCTGAGTTGCCAGGTGTCTCAAGGTTAGTTCCCACAAAACCACACCAGAACAGGCAGGGCTTCCTCAGGAAAGGAGTCTGGAAATCTGATGGACATTATGTGAGAAAGCGTGAGAGACGAATTTGCCAAAAGTATGACGTGAACCTGCCAAGTCAAATCTCGCTTCATTTATTCTTCCACCAGCCCTGCAAATGGCCAGCTCCGTGCCCGGGGAAAAGGGCGGTGGGTATGATTCAGACCTGAGTGGGGCTGATGCCAGGTTAGGAGGGCATCTTAAAGATGTACACACATGAACACACATATACATATATGCATACACGTATACACACGCACATATACACATAAGCACATTCACACACACATATACATGTACACATGCAAAGATGCACATATATACACATACAATTACACACAGATTATATACATATATTCCTTCCTTTTTCCTCTCTTCCTTCCCTCCTTCCTTCTCTTCCTTGAAAATGGAATTTCCCCAGTATCACTAGCCTCTAAGAAGCCAAGGGCTCTCAGATTTTTCTTATTGTCTATGTGACCTTCAGTTTGGCTAGAATCATTCCTGTTCCCCCTGAATCATGTACTTTCTATAAACATGTACAATTTTGTACAACATCAAAACTTGGTTTTGCAACTCATGAAAGAAAAGATATTACACACACAAATATATAAGTTTTCATTTTTTGGTTTATCAGGTAACAGAATCCCAAGGACAAATGAAACTTTCTGATGATGCAAAACACTTTTACTCCAAGGAAACTATTTTAAGGTTTTCCACAAAATGCCATGAATTCCTGGTGTTCCCGTCCTCAAGGGTCCCTTTGTCTGGACTTCTGTGTCCTTCCTAGGAAAACTAGCAGCCACACAGGCCCTAACACTAGCTGACAGCCTGTGTCATCACGCACTGGGTGATGAGCAAGCCGCATCGTCTGCTCCGACACAGTAGGAAGTCACCAGCTCTCAGCAGTGCCATGTGGTTGGAGGTTTTCCTGATTGTTCCACACGGAGATGACTCTTCTTCCTGCTTCGGGATTTTGTTTTATGAAAATCAAGAGTGTTAGCATTCAGAAAAAGAGCTTCCCTTTTAAATGATACATGCCCAAATAAAACATTCAAACAATGTGGAAAAGCACACACAAGAAAGTGAGGTATCAGACAGCCAGCATCCAGAGGGCGTTATCGCTTAACAGGCCACAGAAACTTGGGAAGAGAAGGTCTCTGTTCCCTTCATAGTGGTCCCATTTTGTTGGCTCAGTCTGCTGTCAGAAATCAGCAAAAATCACCGCTGCACACAATGTTCAGCTGACGTGGACTTTGCCTCTTGCTCACGTGTAAGGCGCTGTACAGCTATCGCCCACCTGTCCAGCCAATATTTACTGTGCCCCATCTATGCCGAGTCAGGCTGGCTGTGGAGCCAGCACGTCCCAGAGCCTCTGGCCCTCACCTGGAGCACCCCTAGTCTTGTTGCAGTGTCCTCGGGAAAGCCTTCTGCTGAACACCCTTCAGCCTGAGGCTGCTGGGCTGTCCTGACCAGGCCGGATGCTGCCAGGCCAGCCCGGAGCCTGTCCAGTGGCACTGATCTAGAGTGTTCCCTGGACTGGCGTCTGCTGACCTAGGACCCTTCCCTGGTGGGCTCCCTATGCCTAGTCCACTCTTTCTTTCTGACCATCTCCTGTTTTGGGAAGCCAGATGTTACATAAGACCTGCTGTGAAGAAGCTGGAACTTAGTTCTTCCAGCAAGTTTTGTTACTCACTCTAAGATGTCACATCAGTCAAACCCGTTCTATGACCTCTGGACACCCAGAGCTCCAACGTCACCTCCTGGGGCTACTTTCCTGAGCTCCCTGCTCCAAACGTCAGCGCCATCCATCTGGAGCCCCCGCCTTTATGTATTCTTGTTCATAGCATTTACCTACTTGACTCCTTACCCACGTCTGATTGCGTGCTGGCTGTACCCCACTAGAAGGCCCCAGCCCTGTGCAAGGCGGGGGCGGGTGGTGAGGGAGGGGCCCGGTTTGTTCATCCTGCATCCCTCGCACGTCACAGTAGGCACTCGATCAACGTACTCTGAATGAATGAGTGCATGGATGAGTGCATCGTTCCAGACGGGCTCCTCCCTGTGACACTCTGCTTAGGCTGACCCAGAGCCCCTGAGACGCCCCGTGGAGAGGGAGGCCAGGGCTGCGCTGTTTCCTGTGCAATCTGACCCTGAGGACACCCCTCGGCTTTAGCTGACAACGTTAGGTCATTTGGCTCATGCCATAACGGCTCATGCCTCCCAGTCTAATGATTTTTTAAGTACGCTTTTGGATTTTCCTTTCAAATAAACTATCTCACCAGCTCCTGGTGACAAGTTGAACACCTCGGAGATCACAGCACTGAGTCCTGGGGGTCAAAAGAAATCATTCAAAGCTGAGAAAATCAAGTAGTATTAAAAGGACAGAAGCTAACCCAGAGAATTTTTTAAATAACATGATAAACTAAAATTGGGTAATGGAGGGAGGTAGAGAAAGTGGCGGTGCTTCGGGTGGAGTAGTAAGTTCTGCCTAATCTGAGCTACGTTACCCCGCAGAGCAGTAGTGTTACGAGGGCAACGGCAAGATGAGCCAGAACCGAAATAATCAGCAGCAGCACATGCACCCAAGATGAAGAACACACAAACTATAAACCAGGCAGTAAAAGAGAAAACATGTAGAAAATAGGACAGAAGTAAGACCAAGTAGCTCCAAAATTTGACAGGGCTGAACTGAGCATTTAAATATAAAACACAAACCCGCTAAAAGTTAAACCATGAAACATCTAGAAGGAAACATAGGAGTTAGAAAAAGGAGTAATTTTGGAGTGCAGATTAGAAGTGTGAGTAAACGTTAAGACACCATAAAACAAAAGATTAATATGCTGACCGTATACAGATAGATAGAAGAAATCTGTAGGTCAAAAAAGGAAAAGATGAATAAAATTTAAAAAGGAGGACCAAGCATGAAATATACTTGCACCACACATCAGAATCAAAGCAGATGGTGTCTTCACTTCCTGTTGCATTACTGCACATTAATGACGAAAAGACCAACCACTCCACAGCAGGACCGGCAGGGGAGGTAGAGACGGAAACAGAAATAACTGCCTCTCGTACACAAGGAAAGTCAAGAGAAATGTAATCAAAACTACACTGAGATGCTCCTTCCCCACATCGTAGTCAGGACACACTAGAAAGCATGCAGATGTCTCGCTGCCCTAGAGATCCCTCTAGGTGCCCAACTCGCTCTCTTGACCTGGGGAGAATGCTGCGCATCTGTCTCAGCTGTCTGGCGCTGATTGCTTAAGAAAACTAGATGGGCACACCGCAGCCTTGAGGGGAGCCAGGTGAGGCTGGGCATGTCCTCAGCATCTGGATCTGTGGGGTGCAGGAAATATTGATCATGTGAGTTTTGCAAACCTGCTCTGACATTCTTCACATTGATTTTGCAAATCTGCCTGTCTGAACTCCTAAGGATTTTCTTTTTTGCAATTTATTATTATTAATATTTAGTTAGATCATAAAAAATGCAAGCAAATCTAATCAGTCCAACTCTGTCTGTGGCAGGTGATGATTTTTGGCTACTACAAAAAGAAATATGGATCCAGTTCGACCTCAGATGCAGGGTGAGGTGAGAATGCCTGAGCAGAGATCCTGGCGTGTGAACTGGGACGTGTAATGAATGAGACAGAAGGCTGTTGTCCCTCAGCCCCCAGCAGCTGTCCTGCCAGGAGCTGCCCCCAGGGGACTCAGGGCCCACCACACAGCAACTTACCTGCTTACACCAAGTGCGCAGCGTCATGACAAAGGGAAACCTCTCCCAAAAGACAGAGCGGGGAAAGAATCGTCCAGCCTGTCTCGCCTTCCTGTAGAAGGAACAACAGTGGGACAGCGTTTACACTTATCTGAACGTTGGTTCCTGGTGTTCAGGGCTCTCCACAGGTCTCAACCTCCCTGCCATCCCCTCAGGCATTCCCTTCGTTCGTCCTCTATTCTCACTCCACATTGGGAATATCTCCTCTCCTTCTCCTAGAAACAGGCCCAGGCTCTGCACAGTGTCCTTCCCACTCCTGAAATATGCTCAGGCTTTCCTTGGAATCTTGGCAGGCCAGGGCCCAAGCACATCCTGCCCAACTTCCTGTGCGTAGGTTTGCACTGCTCCCTCTCTGCTGGCAGCTGACGTGCTGCCGGTTCCACCTGGGAACGGGATGGACGACTTCTGAGCAGGGTCAGCCCTCCCTGAGGTGCACTGTCAAATGTCGAGGGAGCCAGGGTGCCTCTCTTCTCAGGAAGATGCTCGTGCTTGCCCCGTGGCCCCTCGACAGCACCACATCCTGAGAGGAGAAAAGTGAAGGCTTAGCGGGTGGGATCACGCTGCCCACGATCTTGGCCCGGGTCCCTTCAGTGCTTCCTGGTTGTCTCCTCGTCAGCACAGATGGAGAAAATAACAAGACGACCAACAGGCTGAGCTGGACAGAGACCTTTCCTTTCAGCATCCTGTGAGCCAGCCAGAGTAAGTCAGGGTGCCGAGGGGGGTCGTTAGGACATCTTCCCTGTTCCGGTGGGCCCCAAGTGTAGGCGTCCCCAGCCCAGTGCCACTGAATTCCTTTATATTTTCCTCCAAGAGTTTTATAGTTTCAGGTCTTACATTTCGGTCTTTGATCCATTTTGAAATAATTTTTGTATGTGGTGTAAGTAAGGGTTCAACTTTATTCTTTTGCATGTGGCTATCCAGTTTTCCCAACTTCATTTGTTGAAAAGGCCATCCTTTCTCCATTGAATAGTCTTGGAACATTGTCAAAAATCATTTGACCATATATGTGAGGGTTTATTTCTGGGCCATCTATTCTATTCCATTTGTCTATATGTCTGTCTGTATGCTACTTTTGATTACTGTAGCTTTGTAGTAAATTTTGAAACCAGGAATTCTGAGACCTCCAACTTTGTTCTCCTTTTTCAGATTGTTTTAGCTGTGCAGGAGTCCCATGATTCCACATGAAATTTAGGTTGGATTGTTCTATTTCTGCAAAAATTGCCACTGGGGATTTAAATAGAGATTCATTGAATCTATAGATTGCTTTAAGTAGTAACGACATCTTTACAAAATTGTCTTCCAATCCATGAACACAGAATGTCTTTATATTTGTGTCTTCTTTAGGATTTTTTTGGCAACATTTTATAGTTTTCAGTGTTACCAAACCAGGTTCATTTTGTCTACCACACAAAATGCCAATCACCAAGACGACGAGTTTGCAGTAGAGAAAGGGATTATTCACAAGGCAGCCAAGCGAGGAGACAGGAGAACCAATCTCAAATCCACCTCTCTGAAAATGGGGATCAGAGATGTTTATGGGACGAAAGGGCCAGGCAGTCTGAAGTGTGGAGACAGAGGATTGGAGGTGAGGAGAAGTGAGGTAATTGATGATCCACGCAAGTGTGGTCCAGCTTCATAGCTCCTCACAGGACATGTTCACAAAATGGCAGCGTTATCATGACCTGAGGGTGAAGTTTTAGGACCCCTGATGTCAAAGGGTCACCTATGGGGCATCCTCGCAGCCCCACTTGGTGAATCAGTGGTCTTAACCAGCCTGAACTGGACAAGGAATTGACTCTCAGTTCCCGAAAAACTTAAGCACCCCACCTGTTACTGTGGTGACCCCAGTGCCAGAGATGCTATCTGCAGGGTCGGCTTTAGCATTGCCTTATCTAACTACTTTTTCAAACAGACAAATAACTGAGTGTGGTTAACGCAAGATGGCTCCTGGTCTCATCAGTGTATAAGTCTTTTGCCTCCTAGGTTAAGTTTATTCCTAAGTATTTTATTTTATTTTTTTTTGAGGAAGATTAGCCCTGAGCTAACATCTGCCACCAAGCCTCCTCTTTTTGCTGAGGAAGACTGGCCCTGAGCTAGCATCTGTGCCTATCTTCCTCTACTGTATATGTGGGACGTCTGCCACAGCACGGCTTGACAAGTGGTGCACAGGTCTGCACCTGGGATCCGAACTGGCAAAGTCCAGGCTGCTGAAGCAGAGTGCGCTAACCCTACTGCTACGCCACCAGGCCAGCCCAGTATTTTATTCTTTTTGATGCTATTGTGAATGGAATTATTATTTTAATTTCCTTTTTGGATCCTTCATTGTTAATGTATGCTGCGTGGGCTTCCACCCTGATGGGCATGGAGAGCATGATCCAGCTGTGTCCATAAGATCTTAGAACACCTGTACAGCTGGAAGAGCCCTGGCCAGCCTTGGTTGACAAGGACTCAGACTTTTCCAGGAAATGGACTGGTGCCCAGAGAGGTCAACTGCTCACAGCGTCTGCCTAGTAACCAGATCCACAAGAGCCAAGCTTGGCTCCAGTCCTCTCTCCTGGCCCTGCCACACGCTCCCAGCATCTATTTCTTACAACTAATGGTGCTGAAAACTTAATATCCACACCTGCTGATGCCTGTTGACATGCGAAGTGAATCTGCACCAGATCAGTGATGCTTGTAGAACACGGACACAATAAATGGATTCTGATGCTCCCTAAATGCCAGCCAATCTCTTTCAGACCTCAGCAGGAATACATTGAATTGATAAACAGACTCTAAATAAACCTCACCGGAAATCACAATGTGGCCCCTTAGAAAAGAGCCAAACCCCCTCCATCCACAATGACGATGTGGGTCAGGAACCAAACTGCACACAACCCTCATCCTGGGCTCTGAGGGTGACGCGTTTGCTGCCATGGAAAGTGTTTGGGCTCCTCGCTCCACCTGTATCCTCAGAGGCCTTATCTCCAGGGCAAAGGCAGCCTTTCTGGAGGTGGAGACCCACCATCTGTTGTCAGTGCTCTCTTCTTCCCTGGCCTCTGAACTCTGCAGCCCCAAACGGAAGCCCTGAAAGCAGGCTGTGTGTGGTTGCAGCCTGGTGAGCCCCTGCCCTGAGGGCCCTTATCTGCAGCCACACTTCTGGAGCCAGGCCAGTGACCTTGCTCCACCGATGAACTTCCCCACTGACTTCTCAATTCCTGGAATTGTTCAGAAAATCCCGTTGGAAATCCAAGGACGGCTGGGTCTCTCAGTGCTGCTGCTTGTGCACAGAGAAAGGAAGAGCTATGGCCTGACTGTGGGGCTCTGGGGTCTGGGAATCCCACACTTTCAGGGGCTTGTGGGGAGGGGGCTTAGATTCTGTCTCCTTCTGCTGGTCGTGGTTCCTGGAATGTGGAAGCAAGCCTAGATCCTATAGAAGCTTCTCAAGTTCTTGGCCCCCCGCCCTCTAAAGGGAAACCTTTAGGATAAAAAACAATTCACCTCATTAGAAAGCACCCCTCTTTTAATATGAAACACAGAAATGAAGAAGACAGAAAGGAAAGATGAAAGAAATATGAAAAGGCAGCACCTTTCCAGCTCTCATTATGTGTCTGACACTGCGCAAAGGACTTGATCAACACAGACCTCATTTCGTTCTTATAATAACCTAGGAGACAACCATCACTGTCACTCCCATTTTACAGATGCGGAACTAAAGTGCGGGGCAGCTGCATATCCAGAACAGCCCTTTCAAGGCCCGTGTTCAAACATCGTTAAGAATTTCAAGATGGCGACAGTGGAGCATTAAACACAGCATGGGCCCTTCTGGGCGCGGGCCACGTGACTCGTCTCAGCGAGCAGAGGAGGCAGCCTCTGGAGGTAGGCCCGAGCTCTTAACCACCATGCATGTTGCAGGTTTCATTACAAATAGAACTTCTTTCCTTCTATTTTGCATTGGTCCCCTGCAAGCTGGGTCACGCAATCCTTCAGTCATTCAACAAATAGTCACTGAGTTGGGACTAGTGGCACCAGAGAGCTGGTGTTAATAACTGAGGGGACCCTCCTGTTGGCATGGCCTCTTGGGTGACGCCTGCCATGTTTGAGTCTCCCCATTAGGGGACCAGGAGCTGGCCTCACCTGCCTGAGCTCTGCCCCCTGCACTCCTTCCCCTGTGGGACGGTGTCCAGAGGCCTCCAGTGGGAAGTTGTCACACACATGGGCACTGTCTCAGAGCTGCCAGTGACTTAAGCCTTGAAAGAAAAGTTTCCTAATCATCTTGGAAAATGGAGTAGGAAGCACTTTTGCTGGCAATTAAGTACTATCCTTTCCTAGGTGTATGTGGTAAGTGCTTAATAAATGCTGTCTCTTTTTTTTTTTTTAAGATTAGCACCTGAGCTAACATCTGTTGCCAATCTTCTTTTTTTCCTTCTTCTCCCCAAAGCCCCCCAGTACATAGTTACACGTTCTAGTTGTGAGTGCCTCTGGTTGTGCTATATGGGACGCCTCAACACGACCTGATGAGCCGTGCCACGTCTGCGCCCAGGATCCGAACCGGCAAAACCCTGGGCCGCCGAAGCGGAGTGCGCAAACCTAACCACTCGGCCTCTGGGCTGGCCCCATAAATGCTGTCTTTGAGGCAAGTGCGAATGGGGACGAGAGGGTGAGCTCTGGCCTTAGCCCTGCATCCCTGGGTCTGAGATCTGGTTCACCAACGCCCTCCTCTGGGGACCGTACAGCCCCCTGAAGACTAAGTGGGTGGATTGCATCTCAGACTAGACTCAGGTGCAGGACACTCATGACGTGTGAGCTCTGTGCCAGTTCACTGGGACCATGTTCTAGGCAGAATCAATCCATGCTGAGGCCAACTTGATATCCAGGCTGTTTTTCTTGGGTGTAGGGAAAAGATAAGAACCAGGAAATTAAATAGTGCATGATCCACACAACCAGAAAACAAACAGTAATGGCTCTGACTATACAATGACAAGAGGTGGGGCCTTCCCAGACACAGGGAGGGGCCGTGGTGATGGGTCTGCGGCCGCCTCACAGGGCAGTCATCATTGGAAGCTTCTGTGAGCCTGAGAGACCTGACCAGTCGCTTCACTCACTGGAGGGGCTACTTTCGGTCAGATTATCAGAAGGTTCTTGAGGTTCAGGTCAACTTAAGCTAGCGGATGCCATGTCAGTCTGATGAATATGACAGCTGCCCACCGCAGGAAACATGGGCAGTGTTTGTGTGGCTGAATCTTTCAATTATGGTTGAAATAAAGACTGGTTTGTGGACAAATACGAAATTGGGCTATTCTCCAGGGCACTTTAGGAATGCTTAAAAGAGGTAACTGATGCCCCCAAAGCACAAACACTGGATGCTGGCTTCTCCATGCTTCTCAGGATGCCAAACATCTGGATTAAGACTCGATTAAGACTCTGGTTTAAGACACCAGAGCACTGGCAGACAGCTTCATTACCCACAGTGAGCCGTGTGCAGGTCACATGGGGCACTCAACAGTGATTGGTTGATGGAATTGACAGCATGACCTGTGAAGTCCAATGTTCCCCCAAGATGCATTTCTAGAGCACCAGTGTCCTACAGGACTTTAATAAATGTTACTCAGAGAAAAAGCTTCCATGGTCCGTTGAGTTTGGAAAACACTAAAGTAAACAGTTTTCTTTCTTTAGGATTTACTGGTGCCTTTAATTTGCTAACAGGTGCTTACTTACCCAGAGGGGGTAAGTATGAAGCTATACACAGATTTATTAGACAAAACGCTCAAACCTCTTTTCTTTTTTAAAAAACGTTTCTGGAACATTTATTGACTTGTGGAAAATACATGATCCAAGGAGAAGAGCTGGCCCAGTGCTGCTGGAGAAAGCTCAGTCTCCCCGCTCCACACTTGGCTGCACTGATTTGAGGTCTCATTCATTCTGCTGCATTCGAATCCTTGTCAGGGACATGGAGTACCAGGAAATTTTGTCAGAGTTTACATATTTGACTTCTCTAAGGCCTTTGCATCCTGTTCAGAAACCTCAAGCCCGGGCTGCATCTTTCCAGGCCTATGAGTGAGAAGCCTGGAATGGTAGGCCACATGAAGATGGCCGTCTGGATTTTGCCCTCAGCTTTTCCATTCTGAGGCTTTGGGGAAAGCATGTCACAGGAAGCCAAAAACACTGGATAAGAAAAAGGAAGCGTTGGGATGTGATAAGTGTAGTGTAGGTTTTGGCCAACACTTTTGCCTTCCTAGTTCTTTTACGTGGGCTGACGATAACGTTTGTTCCACTCCCACGCGCGTGCTAGCTGGATGGCCTCGCTCCCTGATGGCAGAGGTGGGTCCTACATCTGCACCCTCTTCCCTGAAGGGGGAGCTGACATACAGAGGAGCTGTCTTGGGTTGGGACCCTATAACCTGCACCTGAGATGAGTTTGCTGGCGAGAGATCTCAGGAAGTGTCAGCTAGGAAGTGAGGGATGAGACGGGTTGAAAGGAGCTCAGACAGCATGCTTCTGTGAGCAGAGCATCACGGGCTTTGTCCTGCTGGGCCACCCACTGCCAAGAGTGAGAAGGAGCCCTCATCTCTCTGGCTCAGACCTGCTCCCAGGGATGTTAGCTCCTTGGCTCTTTAGCCAGAGAAGGCCCTGGGGAGATGCAGAGGCTGGCCCTTGGCTGCCCAGTGTTGTCAGGGTGCAGAGTGCCCAGGAACTGTGGCTGGGGCCGGAGGTGACACGCCTCTCCAGCATTTTTAGTTCAGAGCTTCTTGGTCATGGATCACTCTGCGACGCATCTTCTTTGGGTGACGTAATGGCATGGACCTTGTCTCACAGGGTGACTGGCGGGCATGGCACTCGGCCTCCAGGGAGGACTACCCTCTGGAAATTCTCTGCTCCTCCCGCTTCTCCTTCCTTTGCCCCTACCCCCACCTTTCAAGCCCACCTCTGCCCTTCGAGGTGACACTCAAGTCCCATTTACCTCAGGGATGCCTCCCAGACAGCGCTGGGCACCTGGACCAGAGATGGCCCTCCATGGACCCTGGATACGCATTTGTGGGGTCCTCTCCCTGAATCCCGACTCTAACGTCTGTGCTATGGGGGGTCTCCAGTGCTCATTCTGTACCTCACTCCCAGGGCAGCACCCAGCACACAGGGGTCTCCTACTGGGAGGTGTCAGTTAGGCGAGGACATCATGCAGGTGGTCCACACCCTTAGCTTGGGGATTTTTACCCGTCACCACCAGGGAAAGGGCAGCCACCCCAACATTGCCGGCGAGCCCTACCCTCCCTCTCCAAGTGACAGAGATGGCTGGCCACATGGTGGAGGGTTCACAGGTGGGGTCCATGTGGATTCCCAAGTCTCTGGACTCTACCGCTTGTCCCATAAGTATTTATTGCCCAGTGCCAGTTCAGAGTTCAGATGCTAGGGTTTGAATGGTGCTAGTTCACTACGTGACCTTGTGTAAGTCACTCAGTGTCTGTGTGCCTCACTTACCCCATCTGTACAGTGGGTGTGACAAGAGAACCTTCCTCAGAGGTTTCTGTGAGGACTGGAGGAGATATGTAAGGAGCCCAGCACGTGCCTGGTGCAGAGGAAGACCTGCTGAGCTCTGGGCCACCGCTATCGCTCCTGCAACTCCTGCCGGCGCGGGCCTCTTACGGGGTAGCAAGGTGACCCAGGCCTGGTCTTTCCGTGCCTTGAGCACAGACGGTTTTTTTTTTCTTATCAACTTTATTTAGGAATAATTTATGGGCAATAAACTGCGTCCATTTAAAATGAACAGTTAGGGAATTTTGACGGTTTTATGCACGCATAGAACCACAACCACAGTCAAGATACTGAACATTTCTGTCACCTCCAAAAGATTCCTGTGCCCCTTTGCAGACCCGTCTGGTGCCTGGACCCAGGGGACCACTGACCAGCTTCTAGTCATTGGAGATTAGTTTTCTTTCTATGTAAATGGAATCGCACGTGTACTCTTGTGTCGGACTCCTTTTGCTCTGTATAATGGCTTTGAGAGTCACATGCTGTCATGTGTGTCAGTGGTGCTATGGTCTGAGTGCGTCCCCTCGAGTTCGTGTGTTGCACCCTAACTCCCAGGATGGTGTGGGGCGCCCTGCCTTCAGGAGCCCTTAGGCCACAAAGGTGGAGCCCTGCTAGCGCTTCCTAAGAGAGCTGCCACAGAGACCCCTGGCCTCCTCCACTGTCACCTGGGACTCAGAAGCGCGCCTTGCCGGGCCCCACCTGCACTCTGGTCTCTGACCCGCAGCCTCCAGGACTGAGAAATAAATTTCTGTTGTTCTTAAGCCAGTCTGTGGTATTCTGTTAGTAGCCAGAACGGACTAAAGTTTGTTGAAGACAAGTAGTTTGTTCCTTTTAACTCCTGAATGCAAATTGCAATTCACAACAAGACCCCACACAGGCCCACGAGCGTGCCCAGAACCAGAAGGCTGCCCACGCCGAGCCGTGCCGAGACGTGGAGCAGGCCCCTCCGCGCTGTGCAGACAGAGGGACGGTTGTTTGGCCTCTTTGGAAAGCCGTTTGCAGTCTCCCTACAAGTTACACGTACACCTTTCATCCCACCGAGGCCACCCGCTTCTGGGGAAACACACAAGTACACGCCTTTGCAATGCACACACTGCTATTCAGTTTTTCTCCTTGAAACTGGCCACAGGCATCTCCACACTCCACGCGGGGCTAGCCTCGGCGCAGCCCTGGCCCCATCTCCACTCACCTTGGCGGCTTGCCCACAGGGCGATGTGCGGGGCTGGACAGCAGTGGCTTCCAGCCCACGCGTGTTGGGCACCGGAGCTTAACAAGGAAACCACAGTACACGCTGTTTCCTCATAGAGCCACGCACAAGATACAGGACTGAAATCGAGCACGTCAGCCTCTGTAAACGCCCCAGTTCTCCCACAGTGTAGTTTTCCACAGCTTTATCGCTGCAGACCAATGTGAGGATCAAGTTAACAAAAATCAAATTAGATAAAATATTCAAATCTTTGGAATCCATCATAAGAAAACAGATGATTTTCCCCCACTGGAGCCTGTAACGTCAAAAGTCCGTCTTGTAATTTGTAATTGGCAACGAACTCCAACACTGAGGCAGCTGTGAGTCACTCCAAGGACCACACTATGAAGTCTGGTGAGCTAGCAAAGTGTGTCAGAGCACAATGGCAAGTTCCTGTGGGTCGGGGAGAGGCTGGGCTCCCGCCCTGACTCTGGGACCCCATCACTTCCCTGCTGCAGACCTTGGTCAGGCCACCTTCCCTCTCTGAGCCTCAGTGGCTTCCTCTATAAAGTGGTAAAAGAAAACAAGAAACCAAAAGCAAACTAAACTAGCTGGTGAACGCCCGGTGTGCACTGTAGAAGACAGTGCGGGCAGCTGCAGCTGTCTCCAGCCCCTTGGAAATCAGAGCTTCCCAGACGTGGGGGGTGCGCTACTCGCCCAATTCTATACTCCTCCCTGGGCACCTGACCTCAGCCGGCTGATGGCCCT